CCGGCACAGCCCCTGGCACGCCCCTCCCCCCCGGAGGCCTGAGCAGCTGAAGCCAAACTCAGGGTCCCGCTGCCCTGGGGGAGCCACAGCGAGCAGGGCAGAGGAGGCTGGTGGGGAAGTGGGGAGCACGGTGCGGGAGCGCGGGGGAGGGGGAAGGGATGCACATGCTGCCGCCTGGCCGCAGCCTCTGGGGGGCAGCTGGCCGCAGCGGAGGAGGCTGCCCAGCCCGGCGCCCTGAGCTGTGCGCGGAAGGCCTGGGGTCGCATCGCGGTGGATGGAGTCAGGGGACACGCCTCGGGTGTCCAGCTCGGTCCCCGCGGGCAGGGGGGAGGGCAGGAGGGGGCTGCCGGGCTCTGGAGAGGCGGGGGCGGGCGCGGCCCAGAGGAGGCCGCACTGGACAGGGCAGGGGCGGGGTCTGCAGACCTTGCTTCGGACAGGCAGAGGCCGTGGGGCGGGACCCCGGGCCGGCCAGGCCGCCTGCTGGGCCCCAGGCCCACCCCGGGCGGGGTCCCGGAGCGCCCAGCCCCGCGGCAGGGTGGACGGGCGTCCTGGGGCCGAGGGCTTCGGGAAACTGGTCTCCGTCTCTTGGCGCAAAACCCTGCGTCATCTTGGCCACAGGGCGAGCTGGGTGCCCGGACGGAGGAAGTGCGCCCACGCCCGCCTGACCCCGCGGCTGTGGCCAGCTGTGGCCGGCAGTGACCACCGGCAGCCAGCCCAGCCCGAGGGAGGGGCGGTGGGCGACGGGAGGGGGCCCTCGCCTGCACCTCCCGGGCCAGGCCCCGGTATCCCCAGCCTGGAACTCCCCGACTTCTCATCCCGCGACAGCAGCCCAGACCCCCGCCCACAGTGGCCAGCTGTGGCCGCTGCGGCCGGGCCGCCCTCCTCCCTGGGGAGCCGCTTCCCCCAGGAACTGCGCAGAGGAGGAGAGCGACTCCCGTGCAGCCCCTAAAGCGCAACAACGAAGGCCCGCGGCTTCTCAGTGGGCAGCGGCCCGCCCCATCAAATGCGGTGGCCGCCGGGGTCACCAACAGCCAGTGGGCGCGTCCCTCAAACCGCCACGCGGCCCGGGCCCAGCCCGTCGGGGCCGCTGCCCTTTGAGCCCACCCCCTGCTGGGCCCCGGAGGACGGCTGGCCACAGCTGGGGTGAGGCCAGGCCCTTCGCAAGGAGAGGCCAGTCCGCCCCGGGTCCACCTCAGTGCCCCTGAACACAGGGACCCGCGGCCTGCTGCCCGCCGGCCACCCCTCCAGGGCCCTCCCGGGCCCTCCCGCTCAGGCCGAGACCGCGGCCAGGGTCCAGCTGGGGC